GAGCATTTGGAGGTGAAGAAGACAAGACATCATCTTCTGGCAGCAGGATCAGCTTCTGTTGTCCCCAAATTTATGTGCAAGCAAGGTCTCAGTCACAGCCTATGCCTTCGTGAGGTCTCACGCGCAATGAACACTCCAGGACAAGCTGCAGGGGACGGGGGAACCTTCTCCTGTAGCATGTGGTGCACACCAGATTTTGGCACCTCTCACCTCCTTCACTTGATGTATTTACTCTTCTAGTTAGTAGCAGCCTGTGCTTTTAGCTGAGAGGAAATTGAGTTTTAATGTTATTCTTATAAGCATGAAGGTTCAGACTTATCGTGGGTTTTACCTTTGTTATTAAAAACAACAAAGAAACCAGTTTTAAAAACTCCATTTCACCTAGACAATCCCAGCTTCATAATGGTAACAGCAAAAAGGATTTGCAGTTGAAGGATTAAAATGCGGGTTAATATCAAAACCAGTGCTGAATAACTGTCCCACTCAGCAAATAGAGGGCATTCACTATGGAAATACCAAAACTAGCCATCCAACACCATTCTCGGGCCCTTAGGCGTTGTACGGTAGTGGTTGTGGGTCTGCTGTGGGCACGGTGAACTCATTGCTCTGGTACGCCCCTGTGCCGAAAAGCCAGGGAGTCCTGAGTCAGGAGGTTAGCTGAAAAGCAGCCTTTTTCACATATATTTCCAAAGTTTCCTTTTTCAGAAAGGTTTTGATGTTTCCTTTGAAGGTCACCTTTCAAATCTGTTCTGTAAAGTTGCCTTAGGTATAAAATCCTTACTCAAATATATTAAAAGGTCAAATAAATTGCACTAAGTAAACAAGCTAGCTTTGCCAGCTTTTGCAGGTGTCCAGCACATGGGAGCTTTAGGATACATGACAGAGAATAAAAACTTGACTTATCTCTCTCTTTTCAGTAAAAGTGGGCAGTAACTAACTGAAGGAAAAGAAAAAGTTTCAGACTAAAAATTCTTTCTGTTTTAACTCAGGAAATAGGGCCCTTGTGAGTTGAACTGATAGAGAGCAAGAGCTCCTGCGGTACTTTGCCATTTAAGAGAAGGTAACAGGAATATTTTCAGTGATTTAATTTTAAGTGTTTTCAATTGCAGGACGGGAGCAGATCATCCCTGCAGCTTTCATTTGTCAAGATCCATACATTTAGGCAGATGAGTTCATAAAGAACCTCCCCCAGAATAAAAACAGCATGGCCTACTAGTTTCAAGGCTCTCTAATTTATGGCTTAAAATTTTCCACTGCCCTGGGTCTGTTTCATACAGTTGTCACTCAGTGGTAGGCTGAGGTTTCAGGGTGTTTCTGGTGGCCCAGCTTTTAATTTTGAACCTTAAGATAAAATTGGTAGTAGCCACCAAGTTGCTTTGCATTTATGAATAGGCCGCTTTTATAAAGACTTCCTTAGAGAAGATGCAAACTGCTTTCTTCCATCTTTTAATTTACTCAGAGATGCCAACCTGACCCATCAAACAGATCCTACAGCTGGCTCTTACAGACAGCTGCCTCTTTAGCTCAGGTTTTAGACCCCGGCCCGCTGCCAACCCTCAACATTTTTTCTTAATCTCCATGCGCCCTGGTAGACAAAATTTCCACTGAAGGCCGAGCGGCAGCAGCGGTGCCCTGGCCCAGGTGCCGGGTGCTCTCCATCATCGGCCGGCCAAAACCCAGGAGTCAGGGCTGGAGGGCCAGAGCCCTGATATCCATTCTGGGAATCCAGCGCCTCCACCCCCACTGACCTATTTTATATTTTTCCAGTATAAATTCTCAGGATTGCTCAACTTCTGGAGGAATAAAATGGTCATTTTAGAAAGCGATTCCTGTGGGCACATGAAAGTCTAAGCCGGAGTTTTTTCCCAGAGGCTCTGCGTATGGTCAGTGGGGAGCAACAGGAACGGTTTATCTGACCCATTTTAGGTGGCTGTTAGAGGATGGACTGAATCTGGAGTGCCTCTTTCTCTCTGATGACCCTAAAGGGAATGCGGCTTGAGCAGCTCAGTCTTCGGGAAACCGCTGTGGGGCAGATAAACCCCACCTCAAGTCTGCATCCATCTCTCACCTGCTGTTTTCTAAAACAGTTGCATTTGCAAGATATCTCCTAGGACATACACCACCGAGAATGGTGGAGTTGTTAATAATTTCTTGTAAAGTTACTATTCCTGTGGAAAGAAAAATCCCCCAAGCCCCTAGAGTAGTTCATTCTGCGGTTTGCTGCTGCAAAGCCTCTTTCTAACACAGCAGGTGCAGGTGCATGCGGAGTGCAGCACTATCATATTAATAAAGTGGAACCACCTAAGCGTATTTCCTCTGAGCTTCCAGAAAGATCTTGGAGGCAATTCCTCACTTGAAGAACTCCAAATTGTCCATTTGTCAGTATTTAAAAAATATCCACACAAACGAGTACTGATGCCTACGGCTTGCAAATAACTTTATGGAGGGTGAGGCAATTTTTTCCAGGATCACTCTTCATATTAATTACTTTAAAAAATGAACATTCAAAGCTATTAGGTCCAGGAACAACTCCATAATATCAGTGGCTGCAAAATGAAAAATGTGCATGCTGGCACATTTGTTCAATCCGTGGTGGCGAGCAGGGACTCCGCTGCTGTTTTATGCGAATTCTAATGAAAGCAATTTATTTCGTTTCCGTCACCCCTAAGCCATTATTTATGAATCAGTCTTCAGATCTCTCGCACAAGGAAGAACGAGTCACTTTGGCACTGAGAACCAATCTCTGACTTGTGTCAGGAAGTCAGCAACCAGGAAACAAGCTTATTAGCTACCATTAGAAATGTCATCTAGCAACAGACACCCATTCCATATTCCTCCCCCAAAAAGCGCAAATCTCCCGGGTTGAAGAGCCCTGGGATAACGCCGTGCCGAGCCTGGCTGCTTCTCCCGAGGAGCGGGACTGGAGCGAGGAGCTGCTGCCCCGACTGCCTTCCTCCGCACCGGAGCACAAGGGCAGGAGAAACTTGCACAGTCAGAAGTTTTTTTATTATTATCCCGCCCTGCCAATCTGGCGCCTTTTAAGGACGCTATTTTCTTTCCCCCTTTAAAGAAAATACCATGACTGTTTTGCAAACGGGATGGCTATTTTAACTTCTTAGCGTGATTTATACTCCATTCCCCGCTGGCTGCTGTCGAGGTTGGCCCAGTCCAATCCGCGACACGTTTCTGATTTAGCACCGTCCTCGCGACCCCTCGGTGACTTCGGCGCGGGAGGCAGGATGTTATCAAAAAGCTGGAGTAACGCATAGCTGCACCTGAGCACGGCCAGGGCAAGCCGCACGCTGCTATTTCGGGAAGCTTTTATGCCTTGTAGTTTTCCTTTTCAAATGCACTCGCATTGCTGCTTAAAAGACAGAATCTCTGTTAAAAGAAGAAAAAAAAAAAAAAAGGCCGTTCTGTTCACCTTGGCAGTGTGTAATTACGGGAGAGGGAAAATGTGGACATTATTACAGGGTGTCTTAATGGAGGCAGAAGGCGTGAGGAGTTCGCTTGTGGTGCGATGCCAGTAAACAGCGGGCTGGGCAGCGGGGTGATGTGGGCGATGGGGTCGGGGACGGGGGGAAAGATGCCCCTTGCCCTTCCCCACCTTCACGCAGACCCTTTGGCCCAGCAGTCTCTTTGCAGCCGTGCCGCAGGCAAAATCAGCAGCAACGCGCTTGCTGTCGCTAGCAAAGGATTTGCTTCAAATTCTTGTGAGGGTGTCGCTTTTCATCGGAAATTAACACCCACCTTTTAATTGCTGGGGACTAGCGTTGTCTAACGGGCACTGGGGCGCAGCAGAAAGCGTTGTTCCCAGTACCGACAGGGGATGAGCTATTTCAGTGTTGTCCTTCCAGTCCTTGAATCTGTTTTTTCTTCAAGCCTATGCGTATCTGGTTTGGGACCGTTTTATAGAGTGATTTTTTGGACCCATTCAGCTGATAAACCAATACAGAGAACATAATCCAATAAAAGGAAAACAAGGAACAACCCCAAACCAAACGGAAAACAGGAAAGTCAGGATTGTCAGGAAGGAACTGAAAGAGGCATAACCATAGCAATAAATGAGAAGTATCAAATACTGACTACTAGCATGAGTGAGTGTCTCTGAGACATAAACCCAGAGCTTTCCTTCAAAAACAGTGAGTGGAAGGAACATGTTACCAAGGGCTGCCATTTTGAAGGGACTTGGGCCAACTCATTGGCTTAGAGCTTATTTTTAAGGGCTTGTTCATCTGAATTTATGGACAGGTTGTAATATAAATGGATCCCTTGGAATCCAATTTATTTCAAAATCAAATCTGCAGCAGTGAAACTACTCGCAATTAAAGGGGTCGGTTATCCGTGACGCAGGTTCTGAGGAAAGCGAGTGCAGAATTTATGTAACCTCATTGTAGAAGGGAAGGGGGAGAAAGTCCCAGAGCTCAGCGGGTCATGATAATGGGTTTTCAGTGGAAAAAGGACCTAACTTAGCTTCAAGTAGAATAGGAAAATCAGAATCCAAAGTACACTGTATTCCCAGTGGTATCTAAACACATGCTTTCATACAAGTAGATATTAAAGTAGTTCTGGGAAAGCAGAGGAATAAAATAAAACCTTCATTGAAGTGGCTGTATTTCATCAAGCTAGCATTTGTTTGTAAAAAAACCCAAATGTCATTAGCCTTGTTTATTTTAAATTACGAGCCAATGAAGAAGTCTTACTGGAAAATTGGTATTGCAGAAGTCCAACCTGTCACTGTACTCTCATTTTTGAAGAATAATGTCTAACATTTTCATTTGATTTTTAACACACTCTTTTTACGTCATGCATAGCTTCCAGTATCGCTCCTTCCATCTCTAGGTGTATTTATTCCTAGTGGACTCTTAGATGGATATTCCTGGAGACTGAAAATATTTGGACCCAGATGTTCAAAGGTTGCTTCTGATTCTTGGTGACTGAGTTTATGAGTATCTTGACTTGAGATAGCTTGGATTTGATTTTTAGCAAATTGTGAACAATCACAAAGCCAGCTGGACTCCGTACATTGATCCAGCACACGTGAAAACAGTATCTTGCAATACCTCAAATTCATCACCAAGATACTGAGAAACCAGAAGTCATAGCAAAAATTTGTTCACAAATATTCATCCACCAGATGAGACTTTAAGTGGTTACATCTTTGCTGGCTTCAGTATCCCCCAGCTTCCCACATTGTGCTGGTCTGTGCTGGGAAGGTTGGCATAAAAGAGCAGATTCTAGTTTTAGCTCAGCTGGCCCAGCAACTGGTGTCTACTACTAGTGGGGTTTCTGTGGCATGCACCTTTGGTCCTAAAAATTGGATAAGAACTGCCTATGACTTGCAAGCCCCTACCTAGGCTTTTTCTCAGACTTCTTCCTGGGGTAACCATCGTATTTATAGGAAAATTGAGGATTTTTTCAGGTATGTGTTCATTGGGTCTGCTATGTTAGATATACAGCATGTCAATCTGGAGCAGCCATGGGCTCTGTGGGTCAGTCGTGTTTCACTTGCAGGGTACCAGTCATCTCTGCATCTGATGTTCTTTTTCAGCTCTTTTAGAACTGGAGAATAGCTTCATAATTTAAGACTTTATGTGCATTTATAGAAATTTACACATACAAAGCTGGCTTCTGAAAAAGCCCTAAATAATCTTTCCAGGCTCTTCAGCATGTCAGTAAGCCTTCATTCTGCCAAAAAGTCTTTTTATCCCCCGAACCCTTGTGATGCAGCTACACTGAACTGTCAGTAGCCTTCTGTTTTGCAGGCTGTAGGCTTAAATTACTTAACTGGAAATTAATGTAAATGAAACTCTTCCAGTGCTCATGGCAAGACCCAGCACGTGCAGGTATGGGTGCAGAAAAAGCAACTTCTGCCAAAAGCCAGAGATAAGTGTACCTCTGTCTCTCTTACTTACTTTTGGGAGGAGAGGAAGAGGATGCTGCTGTAGGAGAGGGAGCAGGAGAGTCTCTTCTACTTGTACCAGGCGGGAAGTCGCTTCCACTAGTCGGGACATCTTGCTGCACAGAGCTGTCTCCCGAAGGGTCCCACGCCTCACCAGCCGCTCTGGGCTGGGAGGAGACGAGTCTCCGCTCTCTTCTCCCTCCTTACGGCTTTTCCCTGCGGCTCTTCTCTCTTCCTCCGGCTTCTGAGCCCCACCAGGCTCACGCATCTCCATCTCCTCTCCCGGGCTGCACCGAACTGGGCCAGACCTGCCGGTGCCAGAGGTTTCGGTGTGGGAAGGCTGCGGGGGGCTGCGGGGAGGATGGGGGGCTGCGACAGCCCGGAGGGCGCGGAGAGCCCCTGCCTGGTGCCCGATGGACACAAGCAGAGCGGCCGGACCGGCCATCGGCGTTCCCACCTCCCTCGCGGCTTTTAAAACCCGATTTGGCCCCTTCCCTCCCTCTTATCTCCGGCCCCGCGGTGGGTGGCCACCCAGCCCACCCGCCTCTCCAGCCCACCCCGGGGCTGGCATCGGCAGGTTGAAACCTGGGGGTCACCGGGGAGGGACGGGTGGGTGGGTGCAGGGCTCGGGACCACCGAGCCTTTCGCACCAGGCGGTGTAAATCCTCCCGTGGTCCCAGCCGGGAGCGGGCTTGCCAAGGCTGGCCCATTCGAGGGGGTGGGATGCTCGTGGAGTCAGCCCCCCAGAGGCTGCGTTATAAAGCTCGGCGCTGAAGGATTTTACAATGTGTTTCAATGCGTAATTTAAAAGGAGAGCAAGGGCCAGGAGCGAACCCTTTCGTTCCGAAGCCCTCCCGGTTTCAGGGATGTTCGGCGCGGATCTGGTCGATGCTCCTGCATCCCGCAGCAGGTGCCTCCCAGTGGCACCCACAGCGAGAGGCAGACACCCCTGGAAATGCCCAGGAGGGTCCAGCCGTCAGGGTTTCCACCCAAAAGCTACGGCTGCTGCTAAGTCAAAACTTCTCAGCCTACCCTCAGTTTTATTACTATTATTATTATTATTATTAATCACAACCCCAAAATGCATCAAACACATCCAAACCTGCCAAGCTGACAGTACCGTGTTTGGAGCATGGAAAAAAGAAAAAAAAAATCCCAAGTAGGAAAACAGTGGGTTGGAAACGGGAAGGCTGAATGAGCCCCACCTGAAATAACTCCAAAAAAAGGCATTTCTGGCTTTGGCAAGTGAGCAAGAAGGATCCTATATGTTTTTGTATATGGTTCCCAGAGGATTTAAAACTGTAAGATTTGATGCTAAACCTATTTCTGTGCTGTGAAACCAGGGACAGCTGTACAAATATTTGCTGTTTTTAATTAAACCTAACATTGCTACTTCCTTCATTTAAGTTAGGTCAAAGGACTGGCAATTTTATGCTTTGATAGATGAAGAAAAACAGTTGTGGGTGTTGTGTTTTAGAAATATGGTATAAAATAAGAAGTCTGAGGGAAAAGGCCTCAGAGGCTATAATAGCTCTAGCCTTGTGCTTTCTTCTCAGAGATGTTTTCCTTGTCAAATATTTCGCCTTATCCATATAGCAACTGTTTCTACTGTAATTCTGCTCATTATTTTTCCTTGAAAGACTTCTATCTAAACTTTCCACTTGCTCCCTAGTTAAACTTGAGGTGGCATTCTCTCGGCTTTGTATTCTTTATCAATGTAGAAAAATCTGCTTTCTTAGGGGGAAATGAGGACGGCTGTGCCTGGTCCCTCCCTCTTTGGACCCCCCCGCATTGCCTCGGTCACTTGGCAGAACATCTCTCAGCGACTCCCTCTGGAGAAGCGCTGGTCTGTCTCCTGCTCCTCAGAGCAGGGCTGTGCTGTCACCATCCCTTCCGAAAGCCGGCGTATCCATCCCGTCCGTGATAAACGAGAGATAAACTGTCGGTTCAGAGACCCGTTTTTTGGTCACACAGCAAAGACCAAAGAGCACCGAGCTGGGGGGAAAGTTCTTGTTTGGGGTCCATGGCTGGTCTGCTGCTTGTCCTGGGGTAAGTCCCTCAGGCTTCCACTATGGGAAATGAGGATAACGATGCTGACTCCCATGGTGATGTGTTTTGGGACCCGTACAGTAAAAGAGCCAGGTATTAGAGTTCCTTGGGCTTTTAGAAGAAGGCAAAGGAGACTTAGAATTAAGCAGGAATTTCACCCAAATTACCTTTTTGTCAAAAATTCTGGACTCATGAACATGTACTGCCTGTTGGAGAACATCCATTTTCATCAGTTTTTGTTTAAAAATCAGGAAAAGATGTTTAGAAAGTCAGAGTAATGCATTTAAACACGTAAGCATATATTTTAAAGCGTGGGGGTTTTTAATGCAATTTTTTTCAGTCTGCTTTTAAACCAGGGTATAGACAAAAGGCACCAAGGAGGAGTAAGATAAGTGTTTTGCTTCTGTTGATCCATATTTTGTGTTTTGGGTTGGTTTAGATTTTAATTTACAAAAATTTTTGAGATTTCAACTTTTCATCCTCAGTGAAAAATCTCAGATTTTCTGTGGGAAAACAGAGGGCCATTTCTTCCCCTTTGGTACCTATAATGGAAAGAATGAGGGGATTGTCCCCTCTACGTAGTTTGTTATTTCTGCTTTAAAAATGACATGTCTCACTGTGCTAAGTGAAATAAATTAGTATTATAGGTTTTAAAGATCTTCAGTAAGTTCTCAGTAAAGTTCTTTGTTATTATTATCAATGTTAGCATTATATTACTGCTACCAGCAGTTTTATTGTTGCTGCTGTGGTGCTGATCATTAGTATCGATTTTAAAAGAAAAAAGCCTTTTTCCTAAAGGTGTAAACCTCATCCATCAGTTGATAGACATCTGTCAGCAGACAGACCTCTGTTCCTTCCTATAGGGGACTGTCAGACTAGCCTGGCATCAGCGCAGGACCTGTGCCAGGCACTCAAACCAAACTGCAAATGAGGTAAAAGAGGTAAGAAGTGGGTACAGGAGTGTGGAGAAGAACACACAGATTTGCAGTTTATCAGCTTGCTCACTTTCTAAGTGCTAGAGATTTGGTCTTCTTAGGTGGTCTGAAGTTTTGGGGTGGATTAACATTTTATAAAACTTTTTTTTCTACAAAAACATAAAAACCTCCAAACCCTCTAACAAACCCTTATCAGGAATTTTCTTAGAGAAATATTATACATGGACAATTGCAAAAATGAGAAGTGGAAGTCTGTCTTTATTTCCAACATCTGCCTCCCTATCTGCTCATTGTTTATCTATGTACCATGTGGAGCCCTGAAGATACTGAGTCATCGGTCAAGTAGAGAGTAAACCAAGAGGAGATATATCACGACTTAATGCTAAAGAAAACATATGTTGTGACATCTACCTTCATTACTGCTAGTACCTCTCACCTCATAACTAAAACCATGGCTGAATGGGTCTGTTAACTGTTTTTAACAGCGTTCTTGTGTGCATCCATAAATCCAGAGGTTCTCTTCCTGACACTGCTGCTGTCCCATCCGCTTTGCCGAGTGTGTCTGAAGGGGCAGAAATAGATGTAGGAGCTTTTGCTCCCCACTCCAGGATGTATAAGGAAAAAGCAAGTTTGTCCCTACTGTACTTCTGCTATAAATGAATGTATTTTTTATGGTCAATGAGTTTTTCTCAATGAGTTAACCATCCTTTCAGAAAAATAAGATGAATAGCTGCTTATTTTAATCTGGCAGCACTTTGAGAAAATACAGCATTTTTTCTGTCTCACGTAGCTCAAGGCTAAAAACCCAAAGAGCAAGAAAACTCCTCTTCCCCCCCTCCTCCTTCCAAAAGGAAAGTCAAGGTTTCATGGGATTCAGCACAATCCGTGGGATTTATGTTGCACCTGTTGAATTCTCACAAGAAATATCAATTAAAATATTGTGACTTTGGAAGGCACATAGGAAATCTGCGGGGAGACTCGAGCTCCATGTCTTTTCTGCACCTGCAGCCGTCTGCCGTCCCAGCTTGGTGCCTCTGGGGTAAGGGGGGGCTGCGGGGCCGGTGCCACGCGCCGCTCCGTCTCCATCGGCATGGGGGGAGAAGCCCATTTCCCCCACCTGCACCGTGCCGACTGATTCTTGTTTGAGTTGGCACCCGCCGATGGTATCGGGACGATGAGGCCTTGCGGACACAGAGCTGGAGTGTTGGGTGGCGCAGATTTGGGATGCTCTCCCTGCCCTCGAGTGCCGGGACTGCGAGAGGGGAAGGGAAGCCTGGGATCTTGCAGCAGTTCGCTCCAACGCCCAGTTGAACCTGATCAATATTTTTTAAAAGCTCGAGTGGCAGTGGGTCCGTAAGCCTTCGTCCCCAGCTGGTGAAACTGGGATTTACCAGGAATGGCTGGGTTCTGCACTGCTGTCGGTTGCTGCTGTTGCTGTTTGCACGTTACAGTGCTGGTGGGATGGCTCTGGTGGAGCAGGGCCTCAGGGAGCACCCAGGCTCGGGAGAGACCGCGTGTCCAGGAAACATGCTACATGTGTTCCCAGAATGTGTTGATCTAAATCAAAAGCTGCTAGTTTTCTCCTGGTAGCTACCCAAAAAGCTGCTAGTTTTCTCCTGGTAGCTACCATCATCATACAAAAGAGGGTGAAAGCTACTGCTGCCCAGCATGGAGGTGCTGGGGGGTGCTTTGCTGCTGTGCAACTGCCCATGGGGGTGAGCCCCATGGGTATTTAGGCAGAGAAATACCTGGGTAGTGGATATTAATGGAGCTTAGGCATAAGCCAGGTGCTGAGCAATTACAGATGCTCAAGAAACTTTCAGAGACCCATGTAAAATGCTCATGGATAACAAGCAGGGGCTTTCAGGAGCATAGTTTTGAGCACAGCATGTGATTTCTGCCATTTAATTGCCCATTGCTTTAGCTGGACGTTGAACCTAAGGACAGCTGTACCAGTTTAGATCAGAGTACCCCAAGCCCATATTCTGACTCCAAAAGTAGCAGGGGATACCCCCGGCGTTTTCCCTGGATGAGGCTCATCCCCAGCATTCTGGGTGTGCTCCCCTTGCAGCTGTCCCCAAAACAGGCAGCTCACCTGAATTGTGAATGGCCTGAATTGTGCCAACGGGGGACCACATTCATGGTGGCCCCCAGGGAAAAGGAAAAGAGCGGCAGCAATGGGACGCCTGTTGATGAATGGGAACAGGCAAGTAAGCTGTAAAGCGTTTCCAGAGCCTCTGACCGTTCTCAGCTAGAGGCATTTTTTTGTGCCTGTGTTGGTTCTTTTGTGTAGTAACCCACAGTGGATCCCTCTCCGAGGGCTTGTCCATTCCCCCTTTAAACCCGAGCAGCCACAGTGTCGTTTGGCAACGAAGTCCATGCCCACTTGCTGCTTGAAGAATCACTTCCTTACGTTTGTTTTCACCCCGGCTCCCTTATAGCCCATCAGTCGTGTGCTGAA